ATATATATATATATGGAATGGCAATATAATTTTCATACGAATAACATAATCACCGATATATATATATGGAATGGCAATATAATTTTCATACGAATAACATAATCCCCGATATCTGCATTCTTTCTGTCTCGTAAAACACGCACCGTAAAAGAGCTCTCTATCTCCGCGCTATAACTTTGCGCGACTCAAGATAGAGACTCATGCATCACCGTGGTCACTTGCGATCGGTCGAGCCGTCATCACCCACGCGCGCAACGTCTCTTCTCTCCTCCGCTTGTTTATTTATAAGCAAAAAGTAGAGCGCGGCCTGCAAGTTTGACGTTAACCGTACGGATGATGACTCGTACGGAACGAGCGAGTCGGAAGATTATCGAAGAAAATGTTTCGCGTTCACCTGTACATGTGATCATCCCTCCTGGACGACAACCACAATATCGGACCTTAGCAGCCGAACGAACGTCGAGCGAATGTCGTTATAGAATTGCTAGCATAATATACACACAAACACACAGGACACATACGCACACACATCTCACACAAACACTCACACACATACATACGTAATGTATTATATATTTATACACATGCTGTACATTCTATATATTTTATAAAGTATTGCAAAGAATGGAGAGTTTCAGATCTACCGGACCATCTTTCAGTCAGTGGAATATAGTTGGATTTCGAGTGGAATCTTTCTTTGCGAAAATTGCATCGCGTAACACCGTCCGCCTTCAATTTTGTAGACTAAATATTTTGGCAGTTAAATTAAAGATTTGTTGAAGTAAATCTTACTTAAAAGTAACGTTAAAAGACAATATTTTGTTATTTGCGTAAATCTTGATTTATCAACTCTTAATTATCTTCTGAGTTCTAATTGTGTATGTCTCAGAAATTATTGTGAATCTACATTAATATTTTTTTAGTCTAACATTGATGACTAAAAATGATGTAGAATACGTCCGAAACACCCTGTATAATATGCCACAAATGCAGAAGAAGATATAATGCTATATATTTACATATTTATATGCAAATGTTTCGTACAATAAATGGTAACCGAGAATTTATAGATAATTTTACATGCAAAAATAAAAATCGGAAATGTAGAATAAAATAAATATAATAAAACTATTTTATATGAAATTTTATTTTTACAAGAAAATAAAGATCTCGAGAATTGAAGAGCTAATAATAATTTTGGCGCTTTTTTAAGCTTGGATGATCGATCTCGATTTATTTTTATATTCGACTCATCTTCTCGGTCTTACCACTCATAAATAGAATGTCCAATATATATACAGGATGTTTCAAAAAAATTATCCTTGTTTCTATTCTCACTTCTTAAATCAAATTCAACAGTTTCTTAGAAACGATGTATCGTCGACAATATTTATTAGTTTATATATTAGATTAATTTATATTATTTATATATTATGATTAAAGATATATAAAGATGACTTTGTGTGTGTATGCAGTTTATATTTTACAAAAAAAAAATAACGACGCGATTTTTTTTTTTTTTTTTCAAGACGTGAAAGATATGCCGGTAATCTTGAGACACACTTATATATACATTTTACGAATATGTACAATTACAAATGCAGATTTCAAGAAGAATGCACAGCGCAACTGCACGGCTGTTTTCTACAAATTATTTTTACATTGACCGAGGCGTATTAACACAAATTTCATATTTGTTTAGGTATCATCAACGACATTATATCGCGATGTTGGCATTGAATATCAAGATATGACACAATCTTATACCGAATCTTCATGCTTTCTTCGTATTATGCTGGATTTGCGAAAACATACGTGTCATTGCAACGAGATTGTCCGAGGAGAAAACATTTCACCTTTCAATCAAGCCACACGATCTTTGTCCTGCCATTTCAAATCAAAATTGCTTCGAGAAAACACCGAAGATGCACGTTCAACTTACTAGTTGCAGATCTCTGAAGAATAATTAATAAGCGAAAGTAGAGGATTTTAGAAGAATCGAGGATCTCGTGTAAGAATCGTGCTTCTTTTATTTCTTTTATGGAAACGATAAAAAAAATTGTGACTTTGTACATAATTTAAATAACGCGAAAGAATTATTGAATCGCTTATACTGCTGCCATTGCACAAGTGACCTTCTTCGATAATTAAGACAGCGGTAAGTGATGCTAATGTAACGTAGAATACCGCAGCTGTACCCTAATTTCGTGCTGTGTTAGCGGCACTTGTCAATGTATTTTATCGTTGAGAAATTCTACACCGAACGACGACAGTAGATTCGAATAATCATGTACATGTCGTATTTCACAGTCACATCAATTCATCGCTTTTCTCAATAACTGGAGACAACAAATATCGTATTAACACAATACATTATTTTTGATACTTAGCCAATTATGACGCGATTTCTTCTACCAAACGAAAACTAGATGAAGGGGAGAAGAAACACCGCCTCTCGATCAGCCTCCCGAATATTCTCGCGCGCGGTGATGCACCAGATAAAATTTGTCACGACGGTACACGTGTACTGCGACGACGACCGCAGATGCACCAGGTGATCCGGTGACTCGGGCGTTCTCGAGACAGTGTCGCGGCCCACCGAATACCGGTGGCTGCTATAAATAATTTGATGTCCGCTCCGGTCGCGCTCGCGATGGACAGCCGAGGGTACAGAAGAGAGTCGGCTAGGAGCCGCTGCAGCGGGCTCCTCTAGCGACCGCTCAGCCTCCTCTCCATATTATTTCTCTCTCTCTCTCTCTCTCTCTCTCTCTTTCTCTCTCTCTCTTCCTCTTCTCTTCGATCAAGAGACGAAGGACGTCTCGTGAACGACGTCTCGGAAAGAACTACGAAACGTCGTCGTCGTTTCTTGATCGTCGACGTCAAATCAAGTAGACAGGCAGAGGAAGAGAAGACTGGAGGTGGATCACCGGCGTCGTTTCTCCGGGGGTGGGGATGGAGCCGGAGCAACGAGGACGCGCTTCGTCGACGTCAAGCCTCGGACGCGAGGTCCGTTGCGGTTGTCAGTACTACCAGAGCGACTCGCTTCTGCCGGAACGACGTGCTCTTCTCGTCAGACCATCATCCAGGACGATGCAGCAGCCACCTGCGGTCCGCTGCAGGTCAGTATATCTTTCTTCTACCACCGATGTCGAAACTGGCGCTAAACACATTGATCATCTACCCTCGCCCACACGGATGATGTAAGGTAGTCTTTCTGCCTTCGCGATATTATCCCCGAGATTATCTGACCCACCTGTCCTCTTCGTCACGCATCGGGTATAGGTTACATCGTGCGAAACCACGTCGCAGACCATCGCGGCTATTTAAGGTTCGCCCGGCTGGCTATAGATAGAAAGCTCGGTCAGCTCCCAAATCCGCCAAGTCCAGTTCCCCGTCCGCAACCCGCGTCCCGCATCCGCGTATCGGTATACGCCATGACCTCCCCGGGATGAACATCCAACGTGGAACCATTAGACCGTGTATTGGATACTGTATGGAGCGCGTTTACAGCAAACATCGGAAGTGATTCAGTGAGTCTGAATCTCGATGCTACAGAGTTAGATGTTGTCTCGATGTTACGCAAAAATAATTTCGATTTTTATTCACACGAGGACGTAACAATTGTAATGATAAAAGATGTATTCTAAACAACATTGAAATAGAAAGATCTTTGAAATTTGTATAAAAATTGAAAAATTCAAATCTGAAAAATTTCAGATGTTTTTTAGGTATCTCTGCGTCTCTAATGTTTATATCATTTTTTGTATCTGTAACATCGAAAATTCAACTTACCGAATTCACATTCAATTTCTGCTTTATAAAGTAAATAGTGTAAAAAAATTTTCACTTAGAGTTACAATTGTATTCTTTAAATGCAAAAATTGTGAGTAACATATTTTTGGAAAATATAAAAAAACATAAAGTACAATGTCTACGGCAAATGCCGGAAAATACTACTACTCAATTTAAAGGGATACTAAAGGTACAATATATCGATTTTTACTCGATTCGTGAATTCAAAACGAACAAAACGTAAAATTACCAGTGACACCAGTGACATATCGGTTGATGAATTTTGTTCGATCGACATGACCATTCCGATGTAGATATCCTGTGTAATTTCGTCCTGCATTTGTTTGCATTGGTCCCATGAGATCAAAAAGAGATCACCGAAACATGTGGGGCGATATATCATGATCGGATGGAAGAAATTAGAAGATACATTGTTCTTGAAAATACGCAAGAGACACGTTTGAAATGAATTTTATATACATGTGATATTCCAGTGTGTATTTTGATCTATTATAGATATGATGATAGATTGTGAAAGAGGAATATGTATTTTTTATTATGACATTTTCATACGAATATCGTGACCACTTTCGGTACTAGAACTTACATCTTAGACATCTTAATTGTTACTTGGAACATCTCGATGATGTTAACGCGCGAATCGTAAATCATCTGACAATAAATTAGTCGTGTGCGATTGCAGTTTGTTCGTTCGACATTTCTACTCTCATTAGAAATGTAAATAGAAAAAAAACAAAATGTTTTTTTTTTTCATAAAAAACGATTTTTTTAATGAAAAAAATAACAAACGTCTTTTTTTCAAAATTGTTGTTTTCAGATATTTAATATCTTTATATTTTGGTTATTGCAAATTGATTTTTCATTATTTTTAACTTTTTAGATGATAGACTTAAATTAACCATTATTATTTTAAATGTAGCTCGCATTCCAATTGGCTATATAGTTATGTAATTACTATTTTAATTAATGGAAATTTTTGTTATGTATCTAATTGAAAATTATCCAAATCATATAATTTGCCGCAATAGCCTCATTAATCCATTAAAACCACTTTCGAAAAAAAATTAATTAAAAATATAAAACTTTAGATTTTTTTATTATGTTAACAAAAAAAATATAAAGAAAGATATTATATTTTAAAAAATAATTTTAAAAAACTTTTTTTTTTTTTTTTTTTTTAATGGGAAAGACGGTTTTTTAAATCTCTACTGTCAAGCAAAACCTGCTTATAATTATAATATTTCCCATAATTAATTAGTTTCTATTTTATTTTATATCTAACAGCATTGTAATTACCACCATCATTCGAGTAATTTATGAAGATTAAACACAGGGGCAAACATTATCAATAATCGCGCTGATGGCCATAACATATTTATCAAATAACCATGTCATTAATTAAACGTAGACATTTTTCTTACTGGTGTAACTTTTTTTTAATGGGAAAGGCGGTTTTTTAGATCTCTAACTCACACAGTGCAAAGTATAACAAAGATATTTCCTTGCATCTCGTTGAAGACAAACATTCACTTGCGCGGCATGGCAAATTGCACGCAAAACTATATACATATAAAAAGTGAACTTTTTTATTTGTAATATAGAATTTTAATTGTATCCGACTCTCATAATAAGATACAAGCATGAATTCTCTCGGTACAGCGAGCACGAATACGAACCGATCGCGCCGCCGCCGCCGCATCCGGCGATGGCGCCGGTCGTACGTATCATCGACACGGACGTGATGATGCCCGTCGCCGACAGCGACGACAGTATCGACGACCGGGGCCGGCTGCCACCGGAGCTGATCCTGGACGGCGATTTGGTCCTTCCACTAGATGGCAAGATCGAGGACAACGCGATGGAGGGCCGCGAGCTCGGTGGGACCGGCGACACTTCCGAGGAGCAGGAGCCCACGGCGCAGCAGTTCCAGGACAAGCTCGAGGAGCGATTTCTCGACGCGCCTACTCCTTACACCGAGTCCAGGACCGATGGCGAGGTCAATACCAGTCAGGTAATGTCCCCGTGATCTTGGCCGGAAAAAGATGAATATTCATAGGAAAGTGCATACGGAAAAAAAAATTTGCTGTCGCAGAAAAATCTGTTTAGTCTGAAAACAACCTCTGAAGAAATGTAACAAAAATCAAGATAGTTCCAAAAAGTCCATCACATAATATCTATTACATCAGGACTAGACATAATTTATAATGGAACTAAATATATTAACGATATATTGATACAATATTGATTTGTCTTTTTTCTTTAAAGTGATTTCCAAAAGAATCAATAGTAACTTCATCCTCGAGAATCGAGGCTGCCATGGCTCTTTCCTCGTAAATTGAATAAAAAAGGATAACGTGAAAAAGCGGTTAAATATAGCTACCACAATGGAAACCCCCGGAATTTAAAAACACCACGAGGCTTGTGAGATTAATCTTGTTGTCTTTAGTCCATCACTCGTGCCGAATGGAGCCTATATTTAGCGAAACTCGTGTAAAAAAGAGACACGAACGTGTCACTGTCCGAATGTGCAACCGCGTTACTCGCAACACGTTCCAGAAAGCTCGAGCCTCTCTCGATTGTGCAATCGGATCCAAAAATATGTATGGCCCGTCGAAATATTAATCATTCTTCGACCTTGCCGGTATTTTTCAATGAGAACATAAACTAGCTCGCGCAAATTGTTGTGATACGTCTTTGTGAAAATCTTTGCGATAATTGCGGTGAATCCAATAGATAAATTCAAAAATTCCTAAATCGGTCAATATATGGCTTACTTTGCGATTAATTAAAATGATTAGCTATGTCATAGTAATTTAAAATATGCGCTTTTAATGTACTTTGCGTGTTTCTAAATGGCATTGCATGTCGAACGTTTCGCACGATACTAATTCATTTTCATTGTGACCTCAAAGTGAGGATTGTGTTTGACCAATATTATAATATCTAACAATAAGTGTGCCAATTTTTATATTTTATGAAGCAGAAAAGTTTTTGCCATAGAGTAATTAATATTAAAAAGTATATTGCAATATAAAAATTTTACAATTACTCTTTGTATTACGTTGCATAGTATAGTATACGTTTTTGTTTGGAAATTTTTAATTTTTAATATATTTTTAATTTTTAAAGTATCTTAAGAGACAATTATAAATTAGATAATTCTTTTTTTAACCCGCATCATTTCTCATGGAAGCACACATTTGTTATTCCAGGTAGACTCGTCGGCGATGGAGGAACTGCCGCTTCGACGCGGCGCTCGCGGCTTATCTCAGCGTATGAAGACGCAGGCTAGTAAGCTGCGCTCTCGGCTCCGGGGTTTTCAGCGTCCCACATTCTCGTTCCCGCAAAAACGGCAGAAGCCTGATAAGAAGACGACAACGACGACAACGATGACGACGAGATCGACGGCAGCGAGCAGCGGCAAATCGGAAAAATCTCGCAAATCGGCGGAAAAGCGACCCAGCAGAATGGACCGGATAAGAACGTCTATTTCCGAGAAGACGGCGAAATTCAGCCTGCCACTCGATCGAACAAAGTTCAGTTTGCCTGACAGATCCAAATTTCATCTGCCGGAAAGATCAAGATTCAGTTTCCCGGATAAGTCGCGCTTCCACTTGCCGGAGAGGCCAAAGTTCAATATCAAGAAGCCCAACATCCGTTTGCCAGACGCGCTTGCTCGCGTCAAACGTCCGCCTTCTCTGCGCGAGCAACAACAGCAACATTCGACCGAGTCTACCGCCGGTTCCAAGCGTAACATCTTCGATTTCGCCACGTATCCGCGCATTTTCGACAAGAAATCCAAGAAGCGCGGTGAATACGCGACATCCTCGCCCAAAGATTCTAGGACTCAGTCCGCGGAGAGTGCGACTTTTCCTCGTGCTCAGAAAGGGAAATCTTTCAGCGCCAGATGGACCCAGCGTTTCGGGAACTCGAGTTATATTCATGGTCGTCCGGAGGAAGAGGCAGCGGCGAGCGATGGCTCTCCTCCGTGGCATCAGAGTTCGATAGAAGAACCGCCAAGGTTGTCCGCCAGAACAGAAGAGGAGATATTGGCAGCAGCTCGCGCGATCCCGTGGGAGGATACGAGAAAACGGGAACAGTATGATGAAGAAGAGATACAGTACATGGACTATGAGCAAGAGTCATCAGAAATGTCAGATCGGCATCTCGCTCCACCGAGGAGAACCCATAAAATGTCGGAACGACAGGAAGAATCATACGAACAGGAAGAAGTGATAGACCCGAAATTATATGACGATCGAGAAATAAAACGCGTTCACAGAGATGAAATCGAAGAGGATGAAAATGCGATGACGCGAGACGATTGGCACGCAGATCAAGAGATGATGCTTGAGGGAAAATTCAGACCAATTCCTAGGTCACTATCGTTGGACGAGGATATACCGCGAGTTTTGGAACGAGAAGGATACGATGGAGCATTCATGGCCGTAGATCCGAGACGATATGGACCGCATAAAATGGCGTCTGAGGAGGAGCAAGATGAAGAAGGAGAATTGGAGGAGGGCGAAGAGGAACATGAGCCTTCTTCGATGCAATCCGATCGGGAACATCAAGCGTCTAGTGGTAGTTCCTGCGATCGAAGGCGTCGAGGAGTCATAGAAGAGATTGATTCTGATGAATTCTTCGTGCGGGCAAGCGGTATCAGTCAAGACGATATAAACTTAGACAATTACTTAACCGACGAGATTCGAGAAGCTCTCAAATCGAAAATCGTCAGCGCCTTGCAGGATGACGAGCTTCCACCTACTCCGCCGCCTCAACGTCCTATGAGAACGCGAACTTTGAGGAAACATAAGGAAGGATTAGCGGTGGAGCGGTCTATCGAAGCGATACCACCGGCTAGACCGAAACGGGAACGCGCGGCGGCAGCTCGACGCAGTCGCGAGGCATCGATCGTGGACGAGATGTTCCGTGAACGCACGAGAAGCGATTCTAGAAGCGATTCCAGACATCGCGTGGTATATCAGACGGAGGGGAATCAACCGGAACCATCGGAGGAACCATTGGATGACATAGTCGTGGTAAAACCGGCGCGAAGAAAGTCGAGATCATCTTTACGCAGTCAGTCGCAACCGCCGATGGAAACATCGATACTCTTTCCCTCGATGTCTGCTATACTCGATTCGTCCGTTCTTCCAGCCACGCCACCCGCCGTACCAGTACGCAGGAAGCGTTCGCACCGAGAGACGATGATGGACCGGAGAAATGGCGATGTAAGTGCACCAATCTGCAATGGTCATCGTGATGACGAGTGGGAAATCGAAATTGCCAAGTTCAAGAAGCCCGTGATACCGATGAGATCATCGCGATCGCGTCAGTCGTTAGTTGAGCGTGATGTCATAATGTCCGCGAGTCGCGAGAACATTGTAAACTTAGACGCGCGGCACCGACGGGCGGAATCCGCACCGGAACCGATACCAGTACCGCCGAAGAGACGATCCCGTTCAAGGACGACGTCGGTCGCCGCCGACGAGGATAGGACATCGCACGGCGCGGAGTCTCTGCCAGAAGCCGGCTACGTGGAGGAGGACATACCGCGAGAGGACGAGAACGACTCGGCGCGGGATTTATCCGGTTACGCGATCGTAGAGAAGCGGGAGAAACCGCCTAGACCACCGCCGCCTAGGAGAAAACGCAACAAGTTCGCTACGACGCCAAGACCGACCCCGCCTAGGCGACCTCAACGAGCGTACAGCACTCTGGGACCCGCCAGAACGAGAGATACCAGCGTGGCATCGGAAACGACCATCGATATGACTCTAGCACCCGCTGAATCCGCGCCGTACATCGAGATTGACGCAGAAGATATCGAGCACAGAGATCTCCGCAGTGGAATGCTTAACAAGATCCAAGGCCGACCGCTTCCGGCACCGCCGCGACCACCCAGGGCGAGAAAAGAGCATGCAATCATTGAACGACCTCGTACCCCATTCGAGTATTCAGAGACAATGGAGACGACGGCAGCGACACAAACCGATCCATTGCCGGATGATATGGTGATCGAGGAGATCACTCAGGCGAAACTCATAGTGACGCCTTCAAGATCAGGTTCACAAGTGATGGTATCGATGGAGCGCATACCCAGCCCAAGTAGGACAGGCACGCCGCCCGTACCGCCACTACCAATATCGCAGTTTATACGAAAGGATGAAGAGGAAGAAGAAGAAGAGGAGGAAGAAGAGCGGCAAGAAGAGGACATTCGAATGGCGTATGACACAATGTCACTGACGACACCGTCGCCGATAAGAGAAACAGATTTAGAAGACAAGCACAGATCGGTGCCGCATTTGAAAGAACGCGTCGCGGAAGAATCGCAACCGCGACCTCAGATCAGATCCTCAGGTCTGCTACCTGACGAACCGTTGAGAATCAGCAGTCTCGAAGTCGGCGATTTGAAGGTCGATCGGCTGAGCGTATCACAGATAGAAGCGCACAAAATTGTGGCGTCTGAAGTGGACGCAATGATGATTACGGCGTCGGAATTGAGGGGTGGCACAAGTTCCGTAGAGGAGAGTTTTTCGCCAGCCATCATCAGGGAACTGATGGCGATTAGAAGCCACTTGGAAACCGTAGTGCAGGAAAGACACCGCGAAAGCGAGGAGTCCGCGAGTCGCAAAATAACCGACATTGCTATGACGGACAACAGTCAAATTCAAGAGCAGGGATCTGTTTCGCAAGAAGATTCGCGGGAAGTGGCAGAATCTGACGAAGCCATCGTGAATGAACCAACGTTCGCGGAAGGCAAGGAGGCGGAGACTAACGAGGATCAAAAGGTTGTTAAAACAGACATAATAGATGTCAAGGACAAAAAGATATCACACGTTCTCTCAGTTGCTCAAGCCAAAGAATTCCCTTCCTCCCAAACACTTGCAATAGATGAATTAGAATCCAAGGATAAAGACGAATTCATCACACATTTGCTCACAGTTGCTCAAGATATTCAAGATAAGTCCTTACACATTTTAGATTCCGAACATCCCCTAACTTTGAGTTCGCAAACCACATCGGATTTTCACGTCGACGAATCTCGTGCCTCGTATCTTCCGTCGGATGTGCCTTCAACTCGACCTTCCGAATCGAGAGAGTCGCCAGAACGCGTTGAAACGCGAGTCGCCGAACCTCCGAGTAGCTTTATCCAGGCTACTATTACTGCTTCTACTGCTACTGCTATTGTTGCTACTACTACTACTACTACTACTACTGTTGCCGACCCGAGCACAACATCTACGAGTCTTCATGGCAGCATGGATGATTTGTTTGATAGTAAAGAACAGATTCCTCGCAAGTCAAGGTCTAGATCCCCTTCACCTAGCAAAGGTATCACGCGGCAAACCGCGTCCCCAGTCCGTTCATTGCCACCAGCCATCTCTGTAACCCCCGACATGCCTGAATCAATAGTACAGAGACACGGTATCTCTATGGATGCTCAACCACAGCGTGCCATCATTTCCTATTCTTCGGACACGAGACATAGTGTCCCTAAGGACGCTCAACCGCAGCGTGCCGTCATTTCCCATTCTTCCGATACAGGACAATCCCTTAGAGAGAGACAAAGGGAATCCTCTGAATCCCCAGTATCCTCTTTTCCTTTAAACGCAACTCACTTAATCGCCTTTCCAGCCTCTGAAATTCCAATGCAATTTTTTTCTCTGAGTGAAACAAATCGACACATTAATATAGAACCTGGTGTTATAGACACTACACAGCAGCTTCTCCGAGCTCTTCGATCGGCCGGTATAAAAGCCATGAGGCATTTTACAAGGTATTTAATGTCCAGAATAAGTATAGATGACACAACAGAAAAAATTAGAGAAGTAGAACTAGTAATATGTGCTCTATTACTTTTGATCGTAGGCTTGTTGATATATTATTTCAATAGCACACAAACTGTAACACATTTTCACCATTGGGATTACTTTAATCCCCCTCAATAATATATTTTCTACAATCCAGTTTGCCTACATCATATGTACACATATTCATAAATAGTTCATTGGTATGTAGAAATTAAAATTTCATATTCTTGTATAAATTTGTTTTATATAACAATAATTGTGTTGAAGAAAATAATCAAAAAAATACAGACTAGGACAAAGCAAGGAATTGGGGAACGGTATTATAGTTCTTATACAAGCTTCAAAATAAAGCAAAATGCCAGGTTTGTAACAAACAAATTGTAATTTTATCATTGTGCCAAATGTACAATTAATACCTGAAGTATACTATTTACAACAATTCGGTCCAATTTATCTATTTTATGATATATACAAGTGAATTTTTAGTGTAAAAAGATTATTAAATATTTCAGATAATATAATATATATAATAATAAAATTTCTTTTTAATTTAAAAGAAAATATATAGTAAAAAATCTGTATTTGTATCTATCCTAGCTAGATTGTTAAGCAATCTTTTTGTTCTTAAATTCCTTTTCAGTTCCCATTCGTATTTTAATAGTCTGATACATATACATATATAAGATGTTATTGTGTGCACTATCAATTTAAAAAAAAAGCAAGTAAGACAGAAAAAAAACATATATGTCTATAATCTCATGAAAATTGTTTGCTATATATCCAAATTTATTGCTTTAATAATGACACAGAATGTGTCACAATGAGATGAAAGAGTGAACAGTAGAAATAAATTAAAAGGAAAGTTCCTATATATACAATATATATATATATATATATATATATATATATATATATATATAAAATACAATATATTTTTTATCAATATTTTATACGAAAAGGCTGAAAACAACATTTAACGCATATCAAGAATCAAGAATCGAGAAGCGAGCACCGTCGCCCGTCGGCTTCGTTGCCGGCTCGGTAGGAAGGAGAGAGACAGAAAGCATTATATCTGTCCTCTTCTGCTATCCGAAGCTAGTCGAAGCGCCGAGCTCACACGTACGCGGTTCGCGCTTGTGTATGTCATTGAACAGTAGAAATAAATTAAAAGGAAAGTTCCTATATATACTATATATATAAAATATGCAATGTATTTTGTATCATACAAAATTATAATGTTAACATTTGAAAAACTACGAGTGATGTAAAAATACTTACATTTACTGAAAAAGATCCTCTTCATACACTTTAAGATCACGTCTGTCTTTATGTGCGCTTTTTTGTGAATAGTTAGCTGCAATTGGTGACCACATAGAACTAGACATAGTATCACTCACAGGCTCTATTATAGGTTGTCTTCTTGCTAATGATACTTTTAATTGGATCGAAGAGACCATACTACCATCCATTTCACTTATTGCTCTTTCAGCTGCTTCAGCTTTTTCAAAAGTTATAAAGCCACGACTAAGAAAAAAGCATAGAAAGATTAGAATTATTACTTATATTATATAACTGCAAAAATATCTTTAATATATTTGTTCTGAATCGATATTGTTATATATATATAGGAAAAATAATTTGTACTTACTTTTTTTCTACTTCCATTGAAATATTAACAATATTTCCAAAACTTTGGAAATGTTTCTTAAGATAATCTTCTGTTATCTTGTAGCCACATACAAATATTGTATTTCCCGCACGTGGTTTAACCTCTTGCTTAGATGAAGATTGCGTGTCGCTGACACTCCTGTCTCCAGTGTCTTGAGCACCAACAAAGCTATTGTACAAATCTTTTACTCTTGGTCTCACTGCCTCTGTTTCTTCTTCTTCCTGTGTCGCCGAGAATGGTTGGTAAGAACTAACTGTTTTTTCTGTACTGTTTAATTTTCTTTCTAGTCCGCGAGATCTCTTAAAAGTTTGCTCTGGTCGTTTAGGTGTCTTTGGAGCTGTGATTACACCAGATTTGATTAATTTCTTTGCTACTTCACGAGCATCTCTTGCTTCTGTAGGCCGTTTTGGCACTTGAGGAATACGTTCTACTTCCTGTTTAGGGGCTTTTAAATCTTGCAGTGCCTTTTTCTATAAACAAAAAGTGATTGATAATGAATGAAAATATAATCAAAGAGATGTATGTAAATATAATTATTATTTAGAGAATAATATTTTACTTTTGCAAATAAATTTAGAAATTTAACTTTACAATCTATTAAATAAATTAAAAGATATATATATATATATATATATATATATATATATATATATATATATGAAAAATTATCTCTCTACGGCAAATCATCGT